ACCCCCATACCCTGTGCTTACTGTTCTTTATTACATTGTTGCAAAATGTATTCAATGAAAAATATCATTAATCTTAATAATAATAACCTTAGGGTTGTGAGGATAAATCTTGATCTTTTGTGATTTTTAAATCGAACAATCAGAGAAAGAAAAATATTACTGATAGCTAGACATGTGAGAAACTGATTTCTGACAGTCTCATATTTGGGTCAAAGAAAATTTAGGACCTCACTAACAGATTTATAACAATAAAAGTTAAGATGTAAGAGTCATAAAATAGAGGGATGTCTGGAAGTCATTCAGCAACATGTGGAGCAACATCATTTTTCTAGCTCATAAATTCTGTTTCTCTTATGTGTAACCCATTTGGCTTTTTGATTATTGTATTTCAAAGATTAAGATGGTATCTTAATACCACACTTCTGAATGAATGTTCTTCTTTAACTGAATGTTCTCTTCTTCAGGAAACCTTTTCTATCTTTTCCTTATTTGTGCAAAAAGCTGAAATAAACAGAATACCAAGGTATAAAATTGAGTAAATTTTTAAAAACTTTATTTTAAAATCTGAAAATGTAATTCTTTAATATTAAATAAATAATGTTTGGATGCATTTCATTTTTAATAAATTGTAAAGACTTACAGTATCTACATGTGCAAATTATACACTGCTGACATTAGAACATGACTGGATTAAATTAGAGTAAACAGAGGCCTGAAGATTCACAGAGGCTTGAAAATTCACAGCCATAGCCACATGCACACATTAATTCACTGCCACCATCTTGTTAAAAAATGGAAGTTGCTTATTACAGAAAATGAAAGGAGGGAAAATATAACCTATAAAGAAGGATGGATTCGGAATGAGATGATAGCTGTCTTCCAGTACTTGAGGGATTCTCTCAGAGATGGGGTTGACATTCTCCAAAGCACTTGAAGGTGGAAGCTCGTTAAAGAGAGATCCTACAAATCACTCAATAATGTCCATCTTTTCATTCTTTCCAATCTACAGAAATGTGAAAAAAATACATAAACAGGCTTGGAAGCACTGTCTACCTGCCTCACAGCAGGATAACTCTCTAAATACAGAACAGAAATGAGACCAGATTTGAAGTGATGGTAGAAACCAGCAAAAGAAAAACATAATTTCAAGGATGAATAAGGTGCTTTCTGGAAAAAAAATATGGTGGACTGAAGACGGCTTCACAGGAAATGGAATAGTGAAGAATCAAGAGCCTGAAAGTACACCAGTTTTTTAAACCTCTCTCCAGATAAGGAGAGGACTTGAGATTGCCCACAAGTTTTTCACACAGCTGGTTCTCATGAGGAGACCAGATAATGGTTTCTTACAGATTTAAAGTTCTGAGAGATGAGGATTAGCCATCTTGCGCAAATCATAGGGCAGCACCTTTGAAAGGAAACTGCATTCACATACTTGCTTTTCTAATCACTTTCTGCGAAATTGCTTGTTAACTGTATTTTAGCCATATTATAAAACTTTACATTAAAAAGTCTGAAAACATCAGGTGACTTTCCTTTTATCCTTAGGAAAATGTAAAATAATTTTAAATACAAGTTTATGGGCATATACGCACATGCATACATACATAGGTACATACACACACACAAGCACGTACACTCAGGTGTGTGTGCACATGTACACACACACACACAAGGGTGATTAGAACTTTGACTTTGGAAAGTTACAAACAGACTAAAGCCCAGATGGATTTGAAATAAACTTTCAGAATTAATTACAAAAGAATCTTTCTCACAGGAAAATGCTTTTGTTTTGAATTATTTTTAAAAACAGTGATAAAATGGGACTGTGAAGATTGGACATTAGAAGGAATGAAGAAGGAATGAAGAAGGAAGATTGGGCATTAGAAGGAACTAAAGATTACAATTAAAAGAGAACACATAAACTCAATTTACAATTTATACAATGGAGAGGGTGCTGGTACTTACCTGATACGCCCGTTCTCTGTGAGCTGTGAAGAGCACCCAGAAGTGGGAGGTGCTTCAGTCTCTTCTGGAAAGGCTGGGCTTAAAACTCCGGGACGCTCCTCCTCCTCCACGGGACACCTCCTCAGCGTCCACCAGTTTTTCAAAGACTGAGTGCCAAAGTCCAGGACTCATCACCTAATCTAGATCCCTGACTGGAATGAAGCCCCACCAGACGGAAAGAAATGGGTGGGGCTGGATGCTTTTTCACAGCTCACAGAGAACGGGCGTATCAGGTAAGTACCAACGCCCTTTCTCCCATGAGCTGTTCAGAGCATCCAGAAGTGGGACATACCAAAGCTTGGCCTGTCCTTAGGGAGGGACTCCATCTGGATCGAAATCCACTCCTAAACTCTATGGACCCTCTGCAGGACTCTTCTGCCAAATGAAGCATCCTCTGAGGCGTAGACATCAATTTTATAATTTCTGACAAAGGGCGATGGTGAAGCCCAAGTCGCCGCTCTGCAGATTTCGTCTATGGAAGCCCGAATAGCCCATGCTGCTGATGTTGCCGCACTCCTTGTCACATGGGCTGTAATGCCCTTAGGAACTGAGATGGACTGGCATTCATAACTTTTAGCTATGGTGGCTCTCAACCATCTACCAATGGTCGTCGACGACACCCTGTGTCCTAAAGTGGATGGGTTGAAGGATAGGAATAGAGCTTCAAATTTTTGAAATGCCGCCGTGCGGTCTAGATAGATGCTTAACGCCCTTCAAATGTCAAGTCGATGCCATTGATGCTCCAGTCTATGAGATGGTTTCGAACAAAAATTTGGAAGGACCAACTCCTGCACTCTGTGGAAGGCTGAATTTACTTTAGGGATGAACGATGGACCCAATCTGAGAACCACTCTGTCCGCATGAAACACGCACAGGCCCTTTCTCATTGACAATGCTACCAACTCGGAAATCCTCCTTGCTGATATGATCGCAATTAAGAAGACCACCTTATATGTCAGGAATTTGAGACTAGCGGTTCTAAAAGGCTCAAACGGGCCAGTTGTAAGTGCGGTTAACACCTTGTTGAGCTCCCAAGTGGGATAGCAGTGAATTACAGGAGGTCGTAAGTTAGCAGCACCCTTAAGAAAGCTATGGACATGTGGATGGTGTGCTATGGAACAAAGGTCACCCCAGGATATCAACGAGGGTAAGGCCGCCACCTGTCTGCATAAAGTATTTGGAGATAGGCCCTTGGTCAACCCCTCCTGTAAAAAGTCCAATAATTGTCCTATTGATGGGGCAGTTGGGTCGATCTTAGGCCCCCGGCACCAGCGACAAAAAGCGGACCACGTGGCCTCGTATATACGATTTGTAGAGGACCGTCTGGATACTTGTATGGTGGCAATGGCATCCTCTGAAACCTGTTGGGTCCTTAAACTGTTCCGCTCAACCTCCATACGGCTAGGCTGAACCATTGTGAGTCTGGGTGAAGTACCAGCCCTTGCGAGAGGGAAACCCTCAACGGTGGAATTTTCCAAGGTTGTTCTCTTGACAGGTCCTTTAAGTCCGCGAACCACGTTTGCCTGGGCCAGTAAGAGGTGACCAATATCAGTTCCGCTCGTTCCTCCAATAACTTCTGGATCAACCTGGGTATTACAGGGAGTGGAGGAAACGCATATAGAAGTCTGGGAGGCCACTGACATCACAGAGCGTTGATGGCCTCCGCCCCCTGAGTCAGGTACCTTGAAATATACCAGGGCAATTGGGCGTTGAGAGGAGAGGCAAATAGATCGATCACCGGTTGCCGAAACCTCTGCACTGCTTCCTAGAAGAGAGACAGGTGTAGGCGCCACTCCGCCTGATCTATCGAGGCCCTGCTGAGCCAGTCCGCTTGTGTGTTTAAGGCCCCTGCTATGTGCTCTGCCTTGAGCAACAACAGATTGGCCTTGGCCCACTTGAACAACTTGGCCGTCTCCAGCATCAGAAGTTTGGAGCGGGTACCCACGTCTGTTTACGTGGGCCTTGGTTGTGATATTGTCTGTCAAGACCAGAACATGGCGTGGTTGGAAAGGGGGTAGAAAACTGCGTAATGCCAGATGAACTGCTCACACTCCAACAGGTTGAGGCTTTGTGATTGTTCAGAAATAGTCCAAATTCCCTGTGCAGTGTGGGATTGGAAGTGAGCTCCCCATCCTACCAGGCTGGCATCGGTTGTGATCGTTGCCCTGCAAGGTTCCTTGAAAGAACACCCCTTGTTTATCATGTTTTCCGACCACCAGTGGAGCGATAGAAGAACATTGTGCGGTACCTTTATATGGACATTGGAAGTGGCTCTTCCGGAACGCTGGAAAGGTAGCAGGAACCACTGCAGATCTCTAGAATGGAATCAAGCCCAAGGCACAATGGAAATACAAGAAATCAGTTTCCCTAACAGTTGAGACAGAACTGCCAGGGAAACCCTCTTTAAGGCTCTGATCTCCCTGGCCAAAGACTGGATACTGTTTAACCTGTCCTGAGAGAGAAAGACCTTGCGGTATCTATCACTGCCCCTAAATGAACTAACCTAGTTGAAGGGATCAAATGGCTTTTAACCCAATTTATGGAAAAGCCGTGACCTTAAAGGGTCTCCAGAGTAATCTTGGTATACAAATTTGCTTGATGTCTGGAAGATGACAAAATTAAAATATCATCCAGATAACATTGTAAACAAATAGATTTGATCCTGAGGGAGGGAGCCAAAGCTGCTAGGACCTTGGTAAAAGTCCTGGGGGCCAAAGCCAAACCGAATGGTAGGGCGATATATCCGTAGTGCCGATCACAATAGCAAAATCTAAGGTATTTGTAGTGAGCAGGTCTAATTGGTATATGTAGATAAGCCTCTGTCAGATCTATAGAGGTCAGGACATCGTTCTCTCTGATGCTGAGCAGAATGGACTGGAGAGTAGTCATTTTGAGGTCAGACATTTGAGGTCCAGAATTGCCCTCCAGCCCCCCAAACTCTTTGGGACCACAAACAATAGAGAGTAACAGCCTTGACCCTATTGTTCAGATGGGACCTCTCTAATAGCCCGAATATGCAGAAGATGATTGATAGCCTCCTGCATCAACGCTCTCTTAATGGGGTCCATAGACCTAGGGCTCCTAATGAAAAAGTTCGGAGGGGAGGATTGAAACTCTAGCGCCAAACCAAACCTAACAGAGTCCCTGATACACTCATCAGAGGTGGAGCTGTCCCATTGATCAGCAAACATTTTTAGCCACCCTCCAATGGGAGCTGCTGTCAAAGACTCACTTGGGGCGACGAAAAAATAGGCCTCCGGTACCTCTGGGGTTTCTTCTATTTTGGCCTCCCCACTGACCTCTGTTGGAGGATTCCGACCTATCCTGTCTAAAATTGGGTCTGTAGCCTGATGTTCTTTGCGATCTGGGAACGTATGGGCCTTGATAGTAGGTCCGAAAGGAACCCCTTCGAAAAGACTGGGGCGTTCTGTTTTCAGACTTCCGAAAAAGAGGGGGAAGCACTTGTTTCTATTTTCAATAAGCAGGGGCTCCAAGACACTGCCAAATAATTTATCCCCCGATATTGGGGCTGATGCCAGCTTGCATTTATGCTTGGTATCCGCCTGCCAATGTCTGAGCCATAGCAGTCTCCGTGCTGATACACGAGATGCTATGGCTCTAGAAGAGAATTTGACTGCATAAAATGTGGCATCAGCAGAGAATTCTGCCACTGCAATAATCTTAGCAATGTCCTGGTGGGCTCTGACATTTGACACTAGCAATATATCCCTCAAGTGGAAGAGCCATCATAGGGAGGTCCGTGTGAAAAAGGACGCAGCTGTAGCTGCCCTAATGGACCAGGCGTCAGAAACATGCGCCCTATGGAGTGCCAACTCTGCTCTCTTTTCCTCTGGTCTCAGGGCTTCCTCGGCCTCATTGGGAAAGGTTGAAGAAGAGGCCAGTGCCACAATGGGCTCATCCACCTCCAGCATTTTGAGAAAATTTGAAAACTCTAGTGCCAAATTATAATATCGTTTATCGTACCCTGTTGGGGCTGGGTAGGATGCTGCTGATGCCCATTGATTTTGTACTAATTCAGCAAACATACGAGGGACAAGAATAGTTTCTGCCTCATTAGCCATTGTGAGAATATTAGTTCCTCGGTTTCATCCTGAGACCCTGTTGACAATGGATGAGAGCTTGATGTGCCTAGTTTAGTAGTGTTCTTTGCTTTGAACAGTAAAGATTTAAAGAGGTGCGGACGAAAAAGGCCAAAAAAGGTAGGTTGGTCCGGAATGAGGCTTTTGTCATCCGACATTCCTTGTTCTAGTGGGTCAGCTTCTGACAACCCCAAGTCCATCTGATGGATCGACCCCACCTCCATGGGGACATCCTGGTCATCTAATTCCACCTCCTCCTGAAGACCCTGGGCTGGTATGTCAGGGATATTGGGGAATACCTGAGTTTGATGATGTCCCATATGTGCAAAGGATCGAGCAGACAGGGATCTCGCTTCCGAAGTAGCCGAAAAGTGTCTGGTCCGGATGGATTGCTGAACTCCAGCCGCAATGCCCTTTTGTATGGCTATCTCCATCCATTCCCTCATTTCGGTGGGAATAGACTCAGGTAATCCCTCCTCCTGTCTTAAACCGGTGGCCGTAGGGGTGAAAGTTGCCCCTGGGATTCGCCGGGCAGTGCTCATTGGAGGAGATATGCCTATGGGAGGCTGTCCAGAAATAGCCTGTCTGGGCTGGGTGGATAAGTCCAAGGGCCCCAACAATGTACTTGGGCCCTGATCCGATTGTTGTGTCATAGCATCTTGTCCATCTCCCTGGCCCGTTTCTGCCACTGCCTTTCCAAGGCTTGGTGTCATCTATGGGCATCCTTATCCGCCGCCTTAGAGGCCCTTTGGGGGCCCACTGACTTATCTTGGGACTTATTTGTCTTGGAGCGGAAGACATTGTCACCTTCCATTTTGGAGGACTGAATCTCAGGTCTCTAACTTTATTTTTTTAAATAATAATAATAATAATAATAGTAATAATAATAATAATAATAATAATAATAATAATAATAATAATAATAGCAGGGCGCTTGAAAGCAGGGCGCTTCTCCAGGAGTGTAAGTGTGTGTGTGTGTGTGTGTGTGTATATATATATATTTGTTTTCTTAAGTTTTCGCGGGTTCTTAAGTTTTCAGCATTCTGCTGAAATGTCGCTACAACTTTAAAAGCACAGCTACTATGACGTGGGAAAATACCCGAGCAAAGCCGAATGCCATACACACACACACACACACACACACACATTATATACATGTACCTATATCTATATGTAAGCCCATATATATGGGAAACAGTATCTAAGGGTCCCCAGCAAGGGAAACCCCCCAAGCACTCCAAGCAAGAAATATTCAGGATCCCTGGTCCCCAACAAGGGAAACCAGCTCTACAGGTCCTGGATGGATCCTTTCCTGTCAAAAACGTCCCGCTGTTTGAAATGGCACTTGAGGCTTCACTCCAATGTAACAATCCAAAAGCAATTCCTGTTTAAGGACTAGCCTGCTTATCCAACGCCAGCAGGCTAAGAGAGAAATAATCCCAGGAAAGTGGAGTGGGAAAGTACTTGCCCCGGTCCCCAAGAAGGGAAACCAGCGGGGAATGGCACCTGTAATATTTCCTCACTTTGTGGGGCAAGATGTTTCATAAAGCAAGGGCAGCAGCAGAAAAGGCCCTCTTCCTTGACCCCACCAGTCAGAATTCTCCCACTAATGGGGTCTGTAGCTGCCTTCCCTGCCTAAGCAAGTGGAATGGGCTGATGTGATGGGGAGAAGATGGCTCTGTAGGTAAACTGGTCCTATGCCATGTAAGGCTTTATAGATAACACCATCAATTGGATCTGGAAGCAAACTTGCAGTACACGGAGCAGAAGTATCATATGTTCTACTATATCACATGACCTAAAATGGATACATAACACAAAAAAAGTCATCAAAAGCGCATAGTAAAGTCAGCTCAGAAAGCTCAAACTGCCCAAGAAGCTGCTTATACAGTTCTATAGAGGAATTATTGAGTCTGTCATCTGCACCTCTGTAACTGTCTGGTTTGGCTCTGCAACCCAACAAGACAAACACAAACTTCAGAGGATAATTAGGACTGCAGAAAAAACAATTGCTACCAACCTCTGTTCCATCGAGGACCTGTATACTGCATGAATCAAAAAGAGGGCTGTGAAAATATTTACAGACCCCTCACATCCTGGACATAAGCTTTCAACTCATTCCCTCAAAATGACGCTATAGAGCACTGCACAACAGAACAACTAGACACAAGAACAGTTTTTTCCCAAAAGCCATTATTCTGCTAAACAAATAATTCCCTCAACACTGTTCAACAAAGTCTGCACTACTAATACTGTTAATCTTCTCATCACTCCTTATCACCCATCCCCTCCCACTTGTGACTGTATGACTGTAACTTTGCCACTTGTATCCTTACGATTTATATTGACTGTTTCCTAGTATGATTTGATTCCCTCTTACCACGAAGGCTGAGCTAAAACTGGGGGATGTGTCGTATCTTATGATTCTTGACGAATGTATCTTTCCTTTTATGTATACTAAGACAAGACAAATCCTTGTGTGTCCAATCACACTTGGCCAATAAAGTATTCTATTCTATTCTATTCTCCCTTCTCTGGGCACTCAATATAACTTCTGCGGCTGCATTATATACCAGTTAATACCATACAGAACACTCTGTTCAGGAAAAAAGATACCACATCTCTAGTGCAGATAGTCCTTGACTTACAATCACAATTGGGACCAGAATTACTAAAGAAGGTGAGATTTTTATGGCCATTTCTGTCATGGTTCTTAAACCAATCACTGAAGTTGTTAAGTGAAACATGTTAAGAGAATCCAGTCTATCCCATTGAGTTTGCTTGTCAGAAACTGACTGGGAAGGTCACGATTGGCAACCACATGCCCCCAGGCTGCTTGCAACTGTAATAATATATGCTGGTTGCCAACTGCCCAAATTTTGATTACATGACCATGTGGACATTAAGTGCACAGGCTGGTCATAAGTCATATATTCAAACAGTCACTCAATGAATGACTTCATAAGTTGAGAACTACCTTTATAAAGTTTCTGGAGGCATGACTTGATTTGATGCCCACAATTATGTGTAGAACTTTTTCCTCATTGAAAACTTAGGATTTTGCTTTTTAAATTTCTGATGGAAAATAAGAAGACTGGCAAGGAGTAAAATGGATTCTCGGCAATGGTGTTTGCAGTGGATAGTTTTCTGACAAATGTAGACCAGCATGCTGCTGAAGATAATAGAGACATTTTCAGGAACAACTTTGAAAGCCTAAAGCCTAACAAAATTCTAATAAATTAAATTGTAGAAAATAATGAAAAATTAAAAGTTAATACGGCATGAAGTGTCTATCTATAGTATGCTCCTGAGAATTCAGAAGTAGCTTACTAATCTCCCTAATACTGGCTTTCATTTCAGAGGCCTACACATTAGTCAAAGCAATACCAATATTTTTTTTAAAAATAAGAAAATTACAAGATTATGCATCTATAGCATCTTAGGCAGTATTAGTATAAATCACTGTGAAGGCTATGAAAATCAATTGCTTGCTAAGAAAGGAAGCTCTTAGTAAACACTATATAGGTATATGCTCATCAATCTTAGAATTATTCGAGAGTACTAACAGCTGGTTTGGTGACTAAGGGCCAGTCACTCTCTTTCAGCCCAACTCACCCCCACAGAGTTGGTTGTCGCAGAGAAAATATGTGAAAAGAGTATTAGGTGTGTTCACCATCTTGAATTATTTATAAAAATAACTGGACAATGTATTGAGTCATTTCAAAGCTATTTCAGAGAAAGAATGAACAAGAGCAAAAAACAAAAAAGAAAGAAGAAGCGGGGGAAGGAACAACTTCCTGCCAGCTTGATTGGGCTGACCGCCCTCTAGTAGCTCATGATGGGATCAGTCTACCCAGTCACCAGATGGCTGGGCAGAGACTGGTCTACTGAACCTCTGGG